GCTGAAAGAGGTGAGGAAGCTGCAGAAGAAAAGTTTGAAGCTAGCATAGGTTGGTTCATGACATTTAAGGAAAGAAGCTATCTCCGTACCATAAAAGTACAAAGTGAAACAGCAAGTACTAGTGTAGAAGCTGCAGCAAATTATCCAGAAGATGTAGCTAAGATAATTGATGAAAGTGGCTACACTAAACAACATAATTTCAATATAGAAGAAAAAGTCTTCTATTGGAAGATGTCATCTAAGACTTTCCTAGCTACAGAGGAGAAGTCAATGCCTGGCTTCCGAGCTTCAAAGGACAGGCTGGTGGTGGAGATTAAGTTAAAACCAATGTTCATTTATCATTCTGAAAATCCTAGGGCCCTTAAAAATTATGCTAATTCTGTTGTACCTGTGTTCTGTAAATGGAATAATGAAGCCTGGATGGCAGCACATTTGTTTACACCATGGTTTGCTGAATATTTTAAGCCTACTGTTGAGACCTACTGCTGAGAAAAAAATACTATCTTTGGACTGTTACTGCTCAGTGAGAATGCACCTGGTCACCCAAGGTCTCTGATGGAAGTATGCAAGGAAATTAATGTTGTTTTCATGCCTTCTAACACAACATCCATTTTGTAGCCCATAGATCCAGGAGTATTTTAGACTTTCAAGTCTTATTATTAAGAAATACGTTTTATAAGGCAATATCTGCCATAAATAGTGATTGCTCTGATGGATCTGGGCCAAGTAAGTTGAAAACCTTCTGGAAAGGATTCACCATTCTTCATGTTATTAAGAACATTTGTGATTCATAGGAAGAGGTAAAAACATCAGCATTAACAGGAGTTTGGAAGAAGTCAATTCTAACCATCATGGATGACTTTAAGGGGTTAAAGACTTCAGTGGAGGAAGTAACTGCAAGTGTGATGGAAATAGTGAAAGAACTAGACTTGGAAGTACAACCTGAAGATGTGACTGAATCGCTGCAATCTCATTATTAAACTTGAACCGATGAAGAGTTGCTTCTTGTGGATGAGCAAAGAAAGTGGTTTCTTGAGATAGAATCTACTCCTTGTGAAGATGCTGTGAACATTGTTGAAATGACAATAAAGGACTTAGAATTTTCCATAAACTTAGTTGATAAAGCAGTGGTAGAGTTTGAAAGGATTGACTACAATTTTGAAAGATGCTCTGCTGTGGGTAAAATGTTATGAAACAGCATCTCATGCTACAGAGAACTCTTTTGTGAAAGGAAGAGTTAACTGATACAGCAAACTTCACTGTGGTATTATTTAAGAAACACTACAGCCACCCCAAACTGGACTTCTAAGCAGCACAGGTGCCTCTGCACTCTCGTTATTCTCCAGGGTTCTCCCACTGACACTCCAGTCAAATCTTAGCTGTTTATCTGGTGCCTTGGTCTTTTTTTGTTGAGAGTGGACTAGCACCAGGCCTCTCTTGTCAGCCATCTTTCTGATGTCACTCCTAAACATAACTTTTAGAAAACCAAATACTGCATGTTCTCACAAGTGGAAGCTAAATGTTGAGAACACATGGACACATCTGGGGAACAACATACACTGGGGCTTTTCAGAGAGTGGAGGCTGGGAGGAGGGAGAGGATCAGAAAAAAACAACAAATGAGTACTAGGCTTGACACCTGGGTGATGAAATAATCTGTACAACAAACCCCCATGACACAAGTTTACCTAGGTAACAAACCTGCACATATACCCCTGACCTTAAAAGTTAAAAAAAAATTTCTTTAAGAAAATTGACGTTGTGAAAGCAAGCAGGCAAACAAACATAACTTTTATGTGCACTGGGAAACCAAAAAATTTATGTGACTTACATTATTGCGATGGTCTGGAACCAAACCTGCAATAACTTCAAAATATGCCTGCATCTAGTTCAGTGGTATTAATCTTAAGCACTTCCATAAAGTTGTGCGCCATCACCACCATCAATTTCCATAACTCTTTTCATCTTGTAAAACTCAACTTCTGTACCCATTAAACACTAACTCCCCGTTTCCCTCTCCTCTTATTCCCTAGTAACCACCATTCTGGTTTCTGTCTCTATGATGTTGACTACTCTAAGTACCTGACATAAGTGGAATCATACAGTATTTTGTTCTTTTGTTACTAGCTTACTTCACATAGCATAGTGTCCTCAAGGTTCATCCATGTTGTAGCATGTGTCAGAATTTCCTTCCTCGCATTTTGCTTACCCATTCCTCTGCAAATGGGCACTTGGCTTACTTCCATGTGTTAGCTATTATGAATAATGCTGCAATAGACATGGGGATACAGGTATCTCTTCAAGACCTGGCTTTCAATTCCAGATATATACCCAGAAGTAAGATGGTAAATTTTATCTTAAAAATTTTTTTTAAAACACATAAGGTGAAGTCAATAAAACCTTCGTTTTGATATGGCAAACCATTTTATTTTAAGGCAATGAGACAGAATTTTTTTAATGAATAAATATGACCATTACCACTCTGTCTTATATCCTCACCTAAGCCGTCTCACCTAGGTTCCCAATCTGTCAAATAACGCACATAGAGATCCAAAAGTAGGGAGAAAGGAAAGAGGAGATAGGATGCTTACCTGTCAGTTCTGTCTCCCTCACCCCATCCTTTTGTTTTTTGAAGTTTGTTTAAGAATTCCAGACTCTCTGATTTGCCACATAAACTAGGCATCGATTTAGGCTTTCCTCATATTTTTAAAGACTAAAAATAAGTCTTAGCATGCATTCTTTTGACCAAAATGACCTTAAAGCTCATCCCAACTAACAGTGTTACTTAGTTGTCATAGTAGTAACTGTAGTTTTAAACTGTGCCAGGACTATTACAAATGCAATCTAGGTTGATCAGATGACAGTTATGAATATTATGTCTCTTTTTAGAGGAACAGTGAGACTAGAATGTCTCCATAGGCAAGTAAACAAGTTGGTGATGAATCTGAAACATATATCCTATGAAAGGAACTGGGGATGTTTTATATTAAAAATAGACAGCGAAGACAGGAGCCATTACCTCTGTCTTCAGATATTTGAGGGACAATTATATGAAAGAGGAATTTATTTGGAACATGAGCGTAAATTACAGAAGGAAAGATTTCAATTTTACATTTTAAAAATACTTTTTGTAACTTACAGTTGCCCAGCAGGGCCCCTTGTGGGGAGGTGCACTCCCACCAAAAATTTTTAAGAAACTAGTTTACTGCCTGACCAACATGGAGAAACCCCATCTCTACTAAAAACACAAAATTAGCCAGGCATGGTGGCATGTGCCCGTAATCCCAGCTACTTGGGAGGCTGAGGCAGGAGAATTGCTTAAACTCAGGAGGTGGAAGTTGTGGTGAGCTGAGATCATGCCATTGCACTCCAGCCTGCACAACAAGAGCGAGACTCCATCTCAAAAAGAAAAAAGAAAGTAATTTACTTTGTATTTTGAGAATTATATGGGAAATGCCTTCTTGGTGGTCTCTGGGACATTTATTTGGAGCCCTGGGGCTTTAAGGAATCCAATTTGAAAACCACCGATCAAGACCAGTATAGCCAGATTAAAAATCTAGTTATTCCAAATATTTATTTCCTATTTAGTCATTCAGTATAAAAAATGAAGAGCCATTGAAAGATGCTGAGGAGAATGACGTGGTTTGGTTCGTATTTAGAAAGGTCACCACGTTGACAATACGGAAATTAAAATCAAAACTGTGATATTGGAAGCAAGGAGACGAGTTTGGAGGCTGCTACAATGGCCTAAGCAAGAAATGATTAGAAGCTAAACTAAGACAGTTGCAATGATAAGTAGAGAAAAGGGGTTATGGTTAACTGTATTGAGAAGTAGAATTAAAAGACCTAATGATGAGTTTGCTGTGGTGGGAAGGGAGGAGTCTGAGTTAATTCTCAACTTTATTATTTTTGGGGATTGAGTAAATAAGGTTGACTTTAGTGGAGATAGAATATGTCAGGGGAGCTATAGGTTTGAAGGGAAAGATCTTGAATTTAGTTTTAGAACTGGTAAATTAATTGACAGCTCACCTCAGATTAAGTTATCTAATAGCAAACAAAGTTAGATATGGAACTTTGGAGCAAGGTCTGGGCTAGAGAAGTGGTGTTGGGAGACATGGATGTAAGTTTGGCAGGCGAAGCTGTGGGGAGTCCAGCCAGGGGCAGAGGGAATCAGAAACACTGAGGAAGCAGTTTGATAGATATAAGAGGAAACTGAGTAAGTCCTTATAATTTTTTTTAATTTTTTAAAAGTATATGTGTGTGTGTGTGTGTGTGTATATATATATATTTTTTAATTTGAACAGGGTCTTGCTCTGTTGCCCAGGCTGAAGTGCAGTGGCACAATCATGACTCACTGCAGCCTTGACCTCCCAGGCTCAAGTGACCCTCCCAACCTCTGCCACCGAAGTGGCTGGGACTACAGATAGGTGCCACCACACCTGGCTAATTTTTTGTATTTTTCATAGAGACAGAGTCTCGCTATGTTGTTCAGGCTGGTCTTGAGCTCCTGGGCTCAAGCATCCCTTCCACCTTAGCCTCCCAAAGTTCTGAGGTTACGGGCAATGCGCCACCATGCCTAGCCAAGTCCTCATAATTTCTTACAGCTGAAAATGTACAATAACAATAGCAATGCAAGCTTAAATGCAAAGAAAAAAAGTCCACCAAAAACACTTGAGTTTTTAAACTTTACTTTCTTTGAGAAATTTGAAATGCAACTGAAATGATTTTTAATAAAATTACGATAATGATTCTACTAAACTTCTGAAGTGTTTCTACAATCTAAACATTCCAGACCTTTGCTTAATCATCAGCTTAATTTTTATTTGGTCTCGGTATTTTTAAATTCTTATTTCACTTTGTTCTTTATGAAATTAATTTTGTTGGCCTTGAATCTGACCAGTGCAAATTTATTATATGGCTTCATAAAAAATCATACTTCAATGAAAATACTTCCTTAAATGTAAGAACTTATACCTTCCTTATGTTCTTTGTTTACCTAAGGAAATGCAACCTCACCACAAGTACAAAGACCATCTTTCATGGACTACTTTGATAAGCAAGACTTCAAGAATAAGAGTCACGAAAACTGTAATCAGAACATGCATGAACCCTTCCCTTTGTCCAAAAACGTTTTTCCTGATAACTGGAAAGTTCCTCAAGATGGAGACTTTGACTTTGTAAGTACATTTTAATCCTTCCATTTATGTTTTCTCCTTCTATATTTTACCATCAAATTGAGAAGCATAGTTCATATGTATGTGAACTGTGTGTATGTATATACAATTATAGACCATATGTTAATATTCATTTTACAGCCATATACATGGGTAGAGGAATTGTGAAGCTGTAGCTTGCTTATAGAAATGTACTTGCATAAATACTTTTTTATAGTTAAATAAATCATAGCTCAAATTTAGACAAATATTCAGGACTCCTTAAAACTAAAATGACAACTATTTTAAAAGATGTTTTCAATAATGCAAATATGAGATACTTCTGACAGTCAGTAAACTCAGTTGCCAAAATTAATGATGCAAAGGTATTTATGACATAGTTTGAGAATTTGCTTCAATTTTGAAAGTATATGAGTTGGTTTCTATTTGAATAAGTGTTAATTCCACTTGGTTTCTCAGAAATAATGGTCCTATTCTGTACCTAGGAGCATATAAACTTCCGTATAAAACTGCCTTATCGCCTATTTTGTTACATTTTCTCTTTATTTCTTCTACCCTGGTTCTTCTTACTTCTTTTAAAGAATGCATAAAATACAGGTAAACTATTTTAAAGTAACTGTTTCCAGAACTTGAGAGAGTAAATTCTCAAAATGAGTTATTTAATGGGGTGAAAATTTTGTGGAGTAAATTTTTACTTAAGAACATTTTAAATAATAATGTTACTTTTGCATATTGTTCTAGAAGATTTTTTTTCCAAACAAAATAACTTTATAATCCTTTGTAGTTTTATTAATAAATGTATGTATACGTAAATAAATACAATTTTAGATATATGTAAATATATACATTTTTTAAATTTAAGAATTTTTAAGTAATATTAAACCATTTTGCTTAGACAACATGACTCCAAATGCTTTGCAATTATAAATATTTTAAGTACTTTTTTCCTCAATATTGTGATGGAGTTTTTAAATAATCAGATAATAAAGTTTCAAAATCTGTCCGCAATAAATTTAGTACTAATTGCTAGCAAATATTAGCAGTATAATTCACAGGTTAGCCTGCAAACATCATTACAATGTCTACTTAATATTTTTTTCCATATCATAGTAAGCAATTAGAAAAATAAAATCAGTATGTCTTTAGTCCTAATAAGATTTCATTTTAAGCTATCTACTTTTTAAAAATTATGAATTATTTAGAATGCTGACATTTAAGCTTTAAATTATTCATGAATATAATGAATAATGTAGAGTATTTAACCTCAAAGAGTTCTGTCTTGTGTCAGTTGGAATAAATCTTTTTTTTTTGGGGGCATAAATTTAAAGGTTTTTTAAATTTACAAGTGCCGTTTTTTAAATTTACATGGATATAGTGCATCGTGGGGAAGTCTGGGCTTTTAGTGTAACCATTACCCAAATAATGTGCTTTGTACCCTTTAGGTAATTTCTCATCCCTGACTCCCTTCTTGCCGTCTCACCCTTCCAAGTTTCCATTGTCTATTATTCCACACTCTGTGTTCCTGTGTACACATTAGTTAGCTCCTACTTATACATGAGAACATGTAGTATTTGACTTTGCTGTTTCTGTTTCACTTAAGATAATAGCCTCCAGTTCCATCTATGTTGCTTCAAAAGATAAGATTTTATTCTTTTTTATGGCTGAATAGTGTGGAATACATCTTAATGGTCTCTGAGAAACAGTTTGAAATGAACTACAAAGTAATGAATAAATTAGCTACAAAGTAATGAATAAATTATCATGGTTAAAAAATGGCAAATAAAATGATTTAATTTTGCTTCAGTTAATCTTTCTACCACCCCAAAATTTAATGGCTTAAAATAACAACTATTTTACTTTCATCAAAACCACAATTTTGTGGGTTAATAGTTTGTCTAGGTTTATCTAAGTGTGTCTTCTGCTGGGCTCACCTGGGGTTTCTTAAGTGACTGCAGTCATCTACTGGCTTGAATGGGGCTGAACAGTCTCTCTAAAGTTACTTCACAAATATGTTGGCAATTGTGCTGACTATTGGCTAGGTCATATGATCTCATCAGGCAAGCCTGGGCTTTTTACGTGGCCATAGTAGCCTTCCAAGAAGGTGAAAACAAGGTTGTAAGGCCTCTTGACGTCAGCTTAGAATCTGCACAGTGTCCATTGATAATAGCATCAAAAAGAATGAGATACTTAAGAATAACCAAGTAGGTAAAAGACTTGTACACCGAAAACTGCAAAAATATGGGTGAAAGAAATTAGACATCAATACATGAAAAGACATATTCATAGATCATAAGCTTTAATATTGTTAGGATGTTTATATTGCCTAAACTGATCTGCAGATTCATTGTTATCTCTGTCAAAATCCTAATGATATTTTTTGCAAAAGTAGAAAAAACTCATCCTAAAATTCATATGGATTCTCAAGGGACCCTAATTAGTCAAAACAATCTTGAAAAAGAAAAACAAAATTGAAGATCTCAGGTTTCCTGATTTCAAAACTTACTACCAAGCTATTGAAATCAAAACAGTGTGGTACTGTCAGAAAGACACATGTAGACCAATGGAATAGAGAGCTGAGAAGTAAACTTTTCACATCTATGGTCAAATGATTTTCGACAAGGGTCCTAAGACCATTCATTGGGGGTAAAGAAGAGGCATATCAATGAATCGTGCTGGGAAAACTGGATATCCACATGCAAAAGAATGAAGTTGGAGTCTTACTTTACACCATATACAAAAATTAGTTCAAAATGGGCCAAAGATCTTACAGTAAGAACTAAAACTAAAAAATTACTAGGAAATACATATGAGAAAAACTTCATGACTTTGGATTTGGCAGTGATTTCTAGGCTATGACACTAAAAACAAGTAACAAAAAAATAGATACATTGGACTACATCAAAATGGAAAACTTGAGTTCATCACAAGACACTATCAACAGAGTGGAGGGCCACCAATGAAATGATAGAAAACATTTGTAAATCATATATCTGATAAGAGGTTAATATTCATAATGTATAATGAACTCCTACAACTCAACAGCAACAAAAAAACCCCAAACAATCCATTTCAGAAATGAGCAAAGGGGCTGGGCATGGTGGCTCATGCCTGTAATCCCAGCACTTTGGGAGGCTGAGGTGGGTGGATCACTTGAAGTCAGCAGTTCGAGACCAGCCTGACCAACAAGGTGAAACCCCACCTGTACTAAAAATACAAAATTAGCTAGGACGTGGTGACACATGCCTGTAATCCCAGCTACTTGGGAGGCTGAGGCAGGAGAATCACTTGAACCCAGGAGACGGAGGTTGCAGTGAGCCGAGATCACGCCATTGCACTCCAGCCTGGGCGACAGAGCAAGACTCTGTCTCAGAAAAAAAAAAGGGGGAAGGGGGGCAAATGACTTAAATAGATATTCTTCCAAAGAAGATAAACATGGCTAATAAGTATGTGAAAAGCTTCAATAATTATCATTAATCATTAGAGAAAGGCATATCAAAACCACAATTAGATACTACACACCCATTCAAATGACTATTATCAAAAAACAAACACAGAAAATAACGAGTGTTGCTGAAGATGTAGAGAAATTGGAACCTTTCCTTGTGCACCTGCTGGTGGAAGTATGTTGTAGTCACTATGGAAAGCAATATGGTGGCTCCTCAAAAAAAACTAATACAGGGTTATCATATAATCCAGCAATTCTGCCTCTAGGTATGTACCAAAGAATTGAAAGCAGGGTCTCAAAGAGATAGTTGTACACCCATTTTCATGGCAGCGTTATTCATAATGACAAAAAGGTAGAAGCAACCCAAGTGTCCATTGATGAATGAAAGGATAAAAAAAAAAAATGTTGTAATACATAAAATGGAATATTATTCAGCCTCAGGAAAGAAATTGTGCAATATGCTACAACATGGATGAGCACTGAAGACATTATGCTAAGTGAAATAAGCCAGGTCACAAAAGGACAAATGCTATATGATTCTACTTATATGAGTTACCTATAATAGTCAAATTCATCGAGATGGAAAATAAAATGTTGGTTCTCACGGGAAGGAAATAGGGAGTTATTGTTTAATAGGTACAGAGTTTCCATTTTGCAAGACAAAAATCATTCCAGAAGTGGATGGTAGTGATGCTTGTATGAAAGTGTGAGTGTAAATAATGCCACTTAACTGAACACTTGAAAATGGTTAATTGCATAAAAAATGCATAAGAGAAGAGGGGAAAGAATTTGCACAGTGTCACTGTTGTCATAGTCTGTTGTCAAAATCTGTCAGAAGTCTAGTCCTAACTCAAAGGATATGGAAATAAATTTCCCCTCATGATGGAAGGAACAGCAAAGTCACGTGCCAAAGGGTGCTGTGAGATGGAAGGGATTATTACAGTACACTTTGCAGACAATCTAATAGAAAGGGTGTTAATTAAAACTCAATAGAAATTAGAATGTTGAATTTAGGAAATGAGAGTTCATTAATGATTTTGATAATGACCATTGCAGTACTCTACTTTCAGATTTTTCACATACACACAATTTTTGACATGTAGCCTTCTACTCTCTGTCTTAGACTCATTTTAGCTTTGTGAATCTATTTTTCCAGTGGCTAACTCCTGAAAGTAAACTTTTGGAAACACTTTTAGCCCCTCATATGTTTTGTAGTCATTCTATCTGGAAATTCCAAAATTTGTTAGAAAACATTAAGCTAATTTAACAAATATTTGACTTTCTGCTTTGGATTGTGCTAGGCACTGTGGGTAAAAATAAATTATACTGATGTATTAAGAAGACAAGGTATGAATTAATGAAGTGGTAAGTTGTAATCCAGAACAGTAACTCAGACATTGCCATGTGGTTTTGAATAAGAGGGAGATTTGGTGAAGGCTGGAGTTGTATATGAAATTATAATATGGAAGAGGACTTTGTCTAAGCATTGATAAATGTATAGCAGAAAGAGAGAAGGTAGGCACTACAAGGAATGATGTGTAATAAAAAGCTTAGCAGT